AAATCCTTCTACAAGGATAAGAAAGGTTTACCGAAGTCTTAAGTAAGTTAAGATGAATATGAGACTTTCTAATTATGATTTAAATGTATTTAAAGTCATGATATGAATACATATGATGTTTGGATATGGAATATAAAGTTTGGGAAAAATCAAATTTAAGTTGCGAAAACATCGAGTTAAGATTTGCCTTGTAACGAGCCGTTTTGAGAAATTAATTCGTAAGATTTATGATGTCATTTTGGGACATATATCATATCAAAATGAAGGTATATGAATTTAGTTTCGAACGTTATACACCATTTATTCATACGATATCAGAGTAAAGAAATATGAATTTTTAAAGTAGGGTCGCCAAGTCACGTCGCCACACTTTAGAGAAACTGACAGGTTTATAAGTCAGGTTGCGAGGTAGTTTTCTCTCAATATATTGAGAGTTACAGGTAGATATTTATATTTAATTAAATTTTCATGTGTCTAGTTTCTAACGCTTCAAACCGTTCATCAATACGACATCATTGTAGAGAGATATTTACGTTTTCGCGAGACTGCGCAGGAGGCCCCTATGGGACCCACTTGATCGGGGCCAAATCTTCACTTATTCTTATCTCATTTTTTGGGATGAGCTATGCTCATTTTTCATTCTCCTTCCAGACTCACACTCTCCAAACCCTCCCAAACAGCTCCCCAAAGGCTCCAAACAAATTCCAAAGGAATACACCATAATCAAACATCAAAAGTTAGCCTAAGTGAAGAAGTGAGTCTCTATGGTATCGTGATGTGATTAAGGGTGGTTGTAAGATAATGGAAGCTTTGGTTCGAGTTTTTCCAGATTATTTAAGGTATGTATAACACCCTATTTCTTGAGATTAATCTTATCTATGTGTTGGTTAAGTTATTGGATGAAGGTTACAAGATAATACTTGAAAGGGAAAGAGTTGTTGTTATCTTTTGTTGGGTTATTTTAAGGCTATATATATGTTGTTATGGCTGAAATTTCAAGTTGTATCTACTGCCTAAGGTATGTAAATTATGTTCTTGGTTGTGCTTAAGGTTAATCATGTGTTGTTTGAGTTGTTTGAGTTAAAATCTTCAAGATAGTAATTGACATGGCATAAGGAATCGTTATCTTTTTTGTGGGTTGTGTTAAGGCTATATATAGAGTTGGTTGTGGCTGAAAATTATTATAAATAGTTTGATTATGTTGTGTCTGTTGTTGTTAAGCTTATATATGTGCTAATTCAGTGGATTGAAAAAGATAACATGAAAAACAAGAGGTTGACGATAAAGGTTAAGGCGCTAGGCGTGTGGACTATTTTTGAAGATTATTCTTATAATGTTTTTGGATGAAAATGATATGGTAAGCATAAGTATGATGTTATACAAGTTGTAGGCAGATTCATGAAAAATAAATTGGATTAAATTATATTTTATTAATTGTAAATCGAGCTTGCCGCTCAAAATGGTTGTTGAAGTAATAAGAGAGTTTATTGTAAATTATATTGTTGTTGTTTGAGTTGTTTGGTGACTTTTAGTAACTTATGGGATGTAGTAAAAACAGGGGAGGTGCTGTCCTTTTTTTTTGTAGAATATTAGTTTTGAAATATGAGAGTTACAATGCTTATATGATGACGACGAAGTCGGGTTACTCATTGTAGACGTAAGAAGATCATGTTGAGGTTGGTTGATGATTGGAGAGAAGATTGCAAAGGTATGTTAAGGCTAAACCTTTCCTTCATTTTGGCATGATCCCGTAACTACATATGTTTTACAACGAGGCATAAAGAGAAGTACATATTCATGAATGTATTCACATTATCCTAGTCTCAGAAGTTACAGTATTCTCCCTTATCGAGACTTTATATTCAGTTAAGTATTATTTTCTTTCAGTCAAGAGAGAAGGAGGTCTATATATATATATATATATATATATATATATATAGTATTACAGTATTTTTACCACCATCTAGCTATAATCTATGGGTAGGCCCTTATTAGGCAACCTCTGATCAGATGGTAAGTTATATACCGAGCCTACTGTGGTCGAGCGTCTATGAGCGAGCCCAGAATGGCCGAGATACAGAGCCTAGTATGAGCGAGCCTACTACGGCAGAGCAGTTACACATACCGAGCCTTATAGGGCCGGACAACTATTTTACTTACTATATTGAGAGAGATGAGTCAGTATCAGTAGGTAAACATATCTTCAAATTATATTTGACTCCCAAGTACTTTCAGTTATTATATTATCAGTTTAGTTTCAGATTTTAGTTATCTTATTGCCTTACATACTCGGTACATTATTTCGTACTGACGTCCTTTTTGCTGGGGACGCTGCATTTCATGCCTGTAGGTACTAATAGACAACTGGATAGACCTTCCTAGTAGACAAAGTCAAACATCAGCTTGGTTAGTAAGCTCCACTTCCTCGGAGTTACCAGGTCGATACCTTGGAGTCCATTTTATATATACAGGTTTGATGAGTAGGTCGAGGCCCTGTCCCGACCATGATACAATTTAGTTATTCCTAGAGGCCTGTAAACGAGTCCTGTACATTTTTTATATCAGTATTATGGCTTTACCAGCCATATGTAGATGTTTAGTTTGTTATTGTTGGTTGCAGACGTTATTTTCAGATGATCCAGAATATGGTCTCATCAGCCTAAGCTGAGGGTTACCCTCCATAGTTTACAATTCCAGAGTGGTACGCTCGGGCCGAGTATGGCACCGGATGCCGGCCACGCCTCTTCGGGTTTGGAGCGTGATAGTTTTTCTCATCATCTTCTTCATCAATTTTAATATCTTCGACTAATACTTCTTCATGACTCTTAAGGATGTTTGTCTTCTCAAAAGTTGACATTCTGATATTCCAAAAGAATAATCTAAGTATTTGTAAGACATTTAAGCACCAAAAAGAAGAAAATTTATTCAATCGCATGAAAAAAGCATTCTGCGGCAATATATTTTAAAAGAAGTATGAAGTTAACTAACCTGCTAATAGTCGATCATTTATACTTATAGCTCTTAGTTTGAACTCCTAACATAAGTACCTTTTCCTCTTCAATGGAGAAATATGCTGACTCATTTATGCTCCTAACAGAATTATATTTTTCGATCTTCAATGGAGAAATAAAAGAACAGGAAACTCGCAAGATGCAGGAAGAAACTGAAGCGAGAAATAAAATAAAGACGGCAACCTTAAAAGTTTAACGTCAGTTATTAGGACTGTTTATTACCTTTTCTTAATTTAAAAAAAAAACTCTAGTAGATATTGTAGTTTATCTCTTATGGTTAACTTAACTAGATTTGGTGTATACATCGGGTGTGAGTAAGTTTTTCCCCTAATACAATGCACCTCATATGTGATGTTTCTCCAAAAAGTTAATGTCAAAATAGCGTAGGCCGGCTAATGTTTACATTGATAATTGAAAAATAGCGATGTTTGCAAAGTTATTAAAAAGTAGTCACTATTTAATGCGAAGCTAAAATTTGGACAAAAATACCCTATCTGAAAAACGAAAAGTTCCAGCATATATGCTTGATTATAGAACTATATAAACTTCCATCACATTATGAATTCCAGCAGATTATGCTGGAATCTCATATGTAAAAAATTCAAACTCTAGTATATTTGTTAGAATTTTTTGAAATTTTAAGGGTAATTTTGTTAAGATTTTATTTTCACGTGAAAAAGCAGCTAAACTTCAATTAATTTTAAAAGTATAACTAATTTTTAATTAGCAGTTCAGGCTATTTCTGATTTTTTTTTTTTCAAAATTAATCTGACCTCATAGGTATGGAAGAAAAATCAAGATGACTAATAGCATGTTTCTCAACTTGAGGTGTTTGGCCAAGTTTTTTTGGAAAAAGTGCTTTTGGGAAGAAGCAGAAGCAGTAGAGAAGCAGAAAAAAGTAACTTCTTCCCAGAAGCAGAAGCAGATGCAGATGCTGTTTTGACTTTTATTCTTACAAAAAATATCCTTAACAAAATATGGTATATATCAAAATAACCTTACTTATTTTAAACCTAATACTTAGAATTGGAGATTATATTATTGAACTCTCCTAATGTATAATTATTTCTTTTTATTTTTAGGATAGCTTTCTAATATATGGTAACTTTTGAGAAGGATACTTTTATATTTATTAAATAATTTTTTGACATATTTAAATCATCTTGAAAAAATTAAAGTACTTTTTAATTTTATTTTCATGTTTTACTTAAATAAAATAAAAAAACTTATAATAAAATTTTGAGATTATTTATTTATTCATATAATATTAATTATTAAGTAAATCTTTTCATGTCGTTATTCGTAATTTGATACTTAAAAGCACTTTTTGAAAAGTTTGGTCAAACACAAATTATTGCTCAAAAGTACTTTTCAGGTTTATTAGCCAAACACAAACTGTTTTTTTTTTTTCAAAAGTACTTTTTGGAAGAACACTTCTGAAAAAAACACTTCTTAAAATAAACAGATTTTTTTCATCTTGGCCAAACAGACAATAAGATAGTTTTAAGTATAAATTTCTTAAAATAACCGGCGAAAGAACCAGTGATGCCCCTAAAATATACTGATGGAGTGACGGTATGAAAAGGATCTTCGTGGTGTAAAAAAAGATTTTATGCGCCTAAAAGTCTCTATATAACATTAATGGATAATCTTAAAAAATGGAAAATAATCTTGTATAAAATGTCAAAATATTTTTGTAGAAATAATTTCAGGTAAAAAAAATTAGTGTACTTAATTCACTGCATAAGTCAAATCCTTCGCCAAAGAGCCCGTTTGGATATGCTTGTTTTAAATGACTTTTATTAAGCCAAAAATTATAAGTTAGAAATTCTATCTTTTAACTTTTTAATTATTTTTGTCATTTTAACTTTAAAAAATATCAAAATAGTACAAAACGACTTACAAACTATTTTGGTCTAAAAGCAATTAAAATAAGTGGATGAAGAGGAATAAAGAAAACCTAACCATTTATTTTGTTGTTTTACCAATTACCAGCGGCAAAAGCAAATAAAAAATTTGATCAATCCTCGCACCCAGTGTAAAAGTTCTCTCGAAGATGGAAGAACATTTGAAAATGGTTATAGACGAAGACGATGAACAAGACTCTAAAGAGACTGTTTTCCATAGATATTTTCTGCGTGAATGGACGCTTCTGGAATCACTCCTCGACGATATCATCTCAAATGGCCGTGTCTCCAACATCTCTTCTGTGCATAAAATTCGATCTATCGTACTATCTCTCTTTCTGTTACGTATTATCAGTTCAAAGCTATATTTGTAATCGAAATTATGTGTAAAATATTACTACTCTATTGTTATGCAGATGGACAAATACCAGGAGCAAGGTCAATTACTGGAACCTTACCTTGAGCGCATAATTTCGCCACTCATGTCCATTGTACGTTCAAAAGCTGGTGCTGCCTCCGAAGAAATTCTCGAAATAACCAAGCCTATATGTATCGTAATTTATACATTGGTGACGGTTTGCGGATACAAGGCTGTTGTCAAGTTCTTCCCACATCAAGTCTCTGACCTGGAGCTTGCAGTATCTCTCTTAGAGAAATGTCATAATGCGCAAGCCATAACGTCGTTGCGACACGAAAGTACTGGAGAAATGGAGGCGAAATGTGTGATACTGTTGTGGCTTTACATTCTCGTATTGATTCCGTTTGATATATCTTCTGTGGATAATAATTACACTGGAGGCGATGAACTACCTCAGCTTGTATTAAGAATTCTAGTACTTTCGAAAGAGTACCTCGAAAGTTCGGGTCCTATGCGAACCATAGCTGGTTTGTTGCTCTCCAGGCTTCTAACGCGTCCAGATATGACAAAGGCTTTTACCAGGTCCAACTGCCTAAATCCTTGCCGTTTGTAGCAGTTAATGATTTGAAATCTCTCCCTCCGTCTATTTTATGTGATGTTGTTTAACTGAACACAAAATTTAAGGAAGGAAAAAAGATTTTTGAAACTTGTGGTCTAAAATAAGGCATAGGTTTAAGTGTAGCTATAACTTAAATGGTAAGCTTAAAGTTAAATTGTTTTAAGTATATAATATACTCCATCGTTCTTTTTGGAACAGACTAAAATTGAAGTGAATCACATAGATTGGGACCAAGTGAGTAATAAAGAAGAAAAAGAACACATAAAAGTGGATGAATTGTCTGGTCATTCTCATGTATGGACATTCATGTTTGTGATGCAAATGACAATATACCTGTTGGAATATCATTTTCTACATTTCGCTTTGCTTGTTATGTGACATGTAGTTCACTGACTATGCCTCATTAATGAGTTATTTTAACAGTTTCAAATTCTTTTACACCATATGTTTGACATACATATTTGCTTCCCTATAATATGTTTTCAGCTTTATGGATTGGGCACATGAAGTTATGTCCTGTCTTTCAAATGATGTTGTTAATCACTTCCAGCTATTGGGTGCAGTTGAAGCACTAGCTGCTATTTTCAAGGTTAGCTCTTGTTCTTTATGCCCTATTTTGGAACATTTCCTTGGTCTCTTTTATGTATGATTGCTAATCTGTAGAACCTTGGTTCCTACTTTAGAACTTGGATATTTGTTTGAAACTCAAATTTGAATGAACTGAATTCATCTTCATGCCTTGCCCTTCAAACCATGAACTACTTATAGCTGCTCTTCCAGGAGCAATATCTTTTGGTAATTATCTTAGACGGAGAATGCGGTGACAATCAATTTTGAAAGAAATGGACAGGTGTGGGAAATCAATTTGGATTTTGTAAAGTAAATGCCAAGTTTAAGTCTCAGTATCTTGGAAACATCTTTGATGTCATAATATCGGAGACCGGTCACTCAATGAATGGAAGAGACAGTCAGACAGATCGATCATCAAACAAAGTCTAACATCTTTAATAACGTAGAGAGTTTTTTATGGTTGTACTCACTCTGGAGCGGTACAATTGTGCAACATGTTATGTAATCCGTTTTTTATTTATCTTATGGTCTTGTTTTAATATGTGTATTTCTAAGTACAGTATTGGTTCCTCCTAATGCAGAATGGAAGCCCTAAAGTGTTGCTTGGTGTGGTTCCTGGTGTTTGGAATGACATATCAGCTCTGATGAAGTCCAATACTGCAGCTCGGAGTCCTTTGCTTCGCAAGTATCTTGTGAAGCTATCTCAACGGATTGGGATGATCTGTCTCCCTCCGCGTCATCTGTCATGGAGATATGTGGTAAGAATAAGATTGCTATTAATTCAAAAGATGCAGTGTAAATGGTTCTTACAAGTTACAAAGTGATGGTTGCTCTGCTTCAAAATATTTTTGTGCACTTAAATACATAACTACGTTCAGTATCATTATTAGGAACCAGTTGCCCTACCTTCATTCTAAGAGTAAAATCTTTGATGCTTTATGGGGAATAGGGAGGTGGGTGTCTTTGTAGTTTTCCATCAGGGATCATCCTTTTTCTTTATATTTCCCCACTGATCTTAGTGGGACTTGAACATTTTCCTCCTTTCTTGATCTTCTCCATCCTTGTCAATATTTCTCTTTCTTTTGAAAAAATTACAATGCTGTGGTGTTTATCAAAGTTGAGCAACCTGTTTATCAGCTCTTTTTCTCTTTGTTCATTTACATATTCGTCTCTGTTTCTCATTCCTGCGCATTTTGGTATTCCGCTGGAAATACTTTAGTATGATGAACTCACCATAGAATGTGAGAAGAAATAGTTAGCATTAATACTTGCTTTGTCATGTAGGGTAGAACCAGCACGCTTGGAGGGCATATTACTGTCGATAGATTCAAAGAGGACCAATACAATGATGCCAGAAACAATAATCTTTCGAATTTCTATCAAGACCCGAACTGTCAGGAAGAAGACAACATGGATGTCCCTGTTATAGTAGAAGAGATTATTGAATTACTGCTGTCAGGATTGCGTGACACGGTATGTCTAACACGGTATGTCTAAAGGGTGAACTTCCATCATATACTTTTTCTGATTGTCCTACTTGATCTTAGGTATTTGGTGCAAGACCCTAGACTAATTCAAGTTGATAACAGTTTCTTTGGATGCTTTTTCGTTTTAAATCCTCCTTCGGCTCCTTCTCATTGAGTAAGCACAAACAAATTCCACAATTCTTTCATGGAGCAACAACAAACCTAGTGAAATCCCACAAGTGGTGTGTGGGGAGGATAGTGTGTACGCAGTCCTTACCCCTACCTAGATAAAGTAGAGAGGTTGTTTCCGGTAGACCCTCGACTCAGAAAAGATACAAAGGTATAGAGGGAAAAAAAAGGCTCAGGAAAGGTAAAGAACAGGGAATAACAATAAGCAGCAATACCAGCAAAGCAATCAGAAAACCAAAGCACAACAAACAACAAGTAGTAACAAAGTCTGAGAACAAAAAATACAAGGCTCGCACTAAAACGATCACTAAAACTACTCATAAGAATGAAGAAGACGCTCGGCTACCTAACCTTCTACCATAATTCTCGACCTCCACACCTTCCTATCAAGGGTCATGTCCTCGTTGAGCTGGAGCAACACCATGTCTTGCCTAATCACCTCTCCCCAATACTTCTTTGGCCTACCCCTACCTCTCCTTAGGCCAACCTCTCACACCTCCTAACTGGGGCATCAGCGCCTCTTCTATTCACATGTCCGAACCATCTAAGTCTCGCTTCCCGCATCTTGTCCTCCACCGGAGCCACTCCCACCTTGTCCCGAATAACTTCATTCCTAAAAAATACGCCGAGACATAAGTTGTCATTTGCTTATGACTTTAGGAGATTCTTAGTTGACTATCCGCTTATGTTCTTCTTGTCTTTTATTTTGAGCTAGTGCATTTGAAAACTTGATATTGATGCTAAGGTTCTCGGCGTATTTGTTTTTTTGTGTGTGTTCGGCTTGATAAAAGTGTCATTTGCTTATGACTTTAGGAGATTCTTAGCGTCAGTTACATTGTGGAACAGAGACAGGAACATTTATTTACTTCCTTTCAGGCTAACTGATCTCCTTTCTCATCCATCTGTAGTTACTAGGTTAAAATCAGGCATATATCTTCTCATGCAGTAGAATAATCTGATACTATTTCAGTAATAGTTGCAAGGTCTTTCTTTCATTTACACATTTACACATTTTCACTATTTGTTATTTGTTGCAACTTTCGCATCTTATAGATTTTATCACCATACTACAGGGCACCGTTGTGCGTTGGTCTGCTGCAAAGGGTATTGGCCGTGTTACTTCACGGTTAACTTACTTGCTTTCAGATGAAGTCCTTTCATCCGTTCTGGAGCACTTTTCGCCTAGCGAGGTATGTTACTACAGTTGTTTCTAGCCAATTGACTTTTCCCCATATCTGAATGCATAATATTAATTAAGGAGACTTATATCTGGTAATGCTAATAGCTCCTCATGCATTTCATATTTCTTGATTGTTCATTTGGTGTGCACTTCTTATTTTTTGATTCTTCATTAGGTTTAGGTTATGCTCATGTATTCTAGTGTTGCAGGGTGACGGCTCATGGCATGGTGGTTGTTTGGCGCTGGCTGAATTGGCACGTAGGGGATTGCTGTTACCTATCAGTTTTCACAAAGTTGTTCCTGTTGTGATGAAGGTTGCCTTTACTGAAGTTCCCAATTTTAATCTGTTGTACTTTTGATCTCTCTTTAACTCCATATGTTGGCCCTGGTGATTGAGCAATTACTTTTCTCTAAAGAGTATGAATGCTTGTGGTACATAACTTGCTTCATCACTATACATCTTTTTCCTTCCTTCATTACCTTCCAGGAAAAGTATAGGTTAAGAAGGAAAGCAACCCATGGTCGACTATGATCTACTGCATGTTGCTTGATTACTCCTCCAAGTTGAAGCTCTCTTTAGCAACTCTAATAGGCCACCTGGAATTCTGTATGTAATACACCTTAGTATTCAAGTGAAACATCTTAACAAGAATCCTAATCAAAAATAATTCTCTCTCCTACTCTTCTGTTGCAGAAGGCATTCTTTTTTCTTGCAGAAATACAATAGATAACACCTTCTGCCTACTTCCATATGTGAGAGAGGGGGGAGGGGGAGAGAGAGGGAGAGAGAGAAATTGGGAAGGAGGAGGGGAGAGAAAGGGTCTCTGTTTACCATGATGAGCATGCTTATCAGGCAATCAGATGGATCCAAATTGAATTAATCTTATTTAGTTGTCATTATCGACATTCACGTCATTGTCCGTGTTTCTATCCTGTACTTACCAGCATATAATCCTCACCTTGGGAACACAAGTCTTTTACATTTTCTATGTTATCATCTAATCATTAGCATCCGGAACACATTATCGTGCTCTTTTGATGTTTACTAAGGACTCTGCATGAAATATGGATATGCCGGGTGGACTTGTTTCGGTTGGGATGAGTTGCTGAAACATATCCAATCTAGACTACCGGTTCAAGATAATGGATTGCACTGGACTTAGATTATCCACTTATTTAACTCTCTCCTTGTTGAAGCTGGATTGTTGTCACCTTAGATAAGGGATAGTTTGTGTGGCAGGCTTTACATTATGACGTTCGAAGGGGTCCACATAGCATTGGATCCCATGTACGTGATGCTGCTGCTTATGTTTGTTGGGCATTTGGCCGTGCATATTACCATGCAGATATGAAAAGCATACTTGAAAAGCTTGCCCCACACCTTCTCACTCTGGCCTGCTATGACCGCGAGGTACCAAAAACACAGGGCTCATTCCTTACCCAGGCAAGGTGCTTCTTCCTCCAATTGAAATGTTGAAACATTGATATTACTTCCCAGGTTAATTGTAGAAGAGCAGCAGCTGCTGCTTTTCAAGAGAATGTTGGACGACAAGGAAATTATCCTCATGGTATAGATATTGTGAATGCAGCTGATTACTTTGTGCTTTCTTCACGTACAAACTCGTATCTTCACGTTGCTGTCTGCATTGCTCAATATGATGGCTATCTTTATCTTTTTGTTGATGAGCTTCTGAACAGCAAAATCTGTCATTGGGTATGTTACTTTCTTGGTTGCTAGATTTTACTCAGACAAAGCACCTCTTTTGTAGAATGTTTATGGTGTGCTTGAGTGTGCCTTTTATCTGCGATATGCGGAGATGCATAATATAAGTCGGCAACCAAAGATATGATGCATCTAACTGATTCCTTGCCAAAGCTTCTTTTTGAGGTTTTAGCAAAAGAATACTTTTACATGTTTGGTCAGAGCATGGAACTGAGAGAAGATAGAAATAATTTGATTAGAAATGTTATAGGAATTTGTGTACAAAATACAAATAACTTTTTTTTCCCAGCTCCTGGTACTCTAAAGAGGATTGAAGGTATAAAATTTTGGTGATGTGTCAGCGAATTGACACTGTTCAGAAGAGATAATGATAGCGGAGTGGTTGATAAAAATATTCCGAATCGAGAAACTAAAGGTGTGCCCTAATTTTGGCAAACTGTAGGATCATTTAGCACAAATGTACATTTCACCTTCTTTCTGTAATTTCTCTGATTTCCTTTTCCAATTGAACTTAAGACATGCATTCATAGCAGTCTAAATCCGAGAACTAAGACATACATTCATAGCAGTCTAAATCCTGCAATCACAGCTGGCTGCTATGCTTAACTTCTTTGTTTATGCACTAGTTCTCGCATCTGTTTGTACTTACTTACTGTTGGTGGATCCTGTTAATTGGTTACCTTACTTTTGAAATGTAGGACAAAAGTTTGAGAGAGCTTGCCGCAGATGCCCTTTCTTATCTTACTAAGTATGATCCTGGATATTTTGCTAGTACCATTCTGGGAAAGTTATTGCCTTGCACATTGTCTTCTGATTTGTGCATGCGTCACGGTGCAACTTTAGCTGTTGGGGAAGTTATATTGGCTCTACATGAGTGTGACTATGTTCTTTCCCCGGGTTGGTGTCTCCCTTTCAGCTTCAAGCTTTTAGTTGATTAGATCAAAGTTCAAGCTGGTTGGCGCTGGTTTAAAGTTTAGAGGTCTTCAATGCATTTTGTGCTTTACATTGTTCTTAATAAATATTAGCTTTCCCGAGTCTCACTTGATGAGTTAAATAGTTCTGCAATTTGCTGGAGAAACAAGATTTGCTATTAAACCATAATTTGAAAACTAGAACAATACTGCAGTAAAAAGCAACTTAAGTATAATCATATGAGACTATAGTGACAACCTTTACTCAATTTGTGCATGTAGATACCACATACTTTTGGTGTTGTATGTTCATACTGGTATTGAACATGATTTTTCTATGGTTGAGAAATGAAATCATGAATTCAAAGTGGAAATATTTGTGTCTAGTTTCTTAGGATAGCTGTTTGCTCCCTATGAGCGCTTAGTGTTTTTGTTGACCCATTTCTGTAGTGATTTCTTTGCATAACTAAAATAATCCCTCCATCCAAATTGAATGCCTGGGGGGTGATAGCATAAGTATATTATGTGGTGATAGCTGACTTTTGGTTATAGAGAAGTGAGCTACTACTTGGAGAAATGTAAAGGTGCACCATGGTATATTTCTGAATTATGTTATACGCGGAAGTGATGTATAAGAAGAGCAACAGAAGTGTTCTGAAACTAAGAGCAACAGAAGATCTTTCAGTTTTCAGAAATTGGATTATTGCGGGAAAGCAAAGATGAACTGGATTTTGAATTTGGGAAGGAGGATTACATTCTAAGATGTGCAGTACTAATTTTACTTAGTTTTTGCACCAATTTTAATTGTCCATCCATCAAGTAGGCCTTGACATCCAACTTGTGTCGTACAGAATATCACCATGTGGGTGCCTTTAACTTTTTTAATTACCACGAGTCCTTTTTAAATTACTGAAGAGAAAATCATCTGGTCAAGAGTTACAACACAGTCAATTTCTGTGTTTACTATGTATAGCTAAATGTGGTCCCTCTATTTTTTCATTACAGATCTGCAGGATCAAGTTGCTGGTGTGGTTCCTGCAATTGAGAAAGCACGGCTATATTGTGGAAAGGGGGGAGAAGTAATGCGTTCTGCTGTTTCCCATATCATTGAGTGCATTTCATTGGCTTGTCTCCAATTGAGAGATAAAATAAAGCGGATTCTGCTTGATACACTCCATGAGAATTTGAGACATCCGAATTCTCAGATACAGGTTTATCTTGTGAATTTGTCAGTTTCCTGCTGATTAGCTTCCTTTGAAAATATACCCCGATTTACTTGTATGTTTGCAGGGTGCTGCTGCTGCAGCCTTAAAGAGCTTTCTTCCTGCTTATTTTGTGGCTTTGGAAAGCAAAAGCTTCAATGCCATCACATCAAAATACCTTGAGAAATTGGCTGATCCTAATGTGGCTGCTAGACGAGGATCTGCACTTGCGCTTGGTGTTTTGCCATTTGAGTTTCTAGGCGAAGGATGGAAGGATATACTCCGGAAGCTTTGTGCTGCTTGTGAAATTGAGGTAAAGAAGTGCGCATCTGTTTATATGTTGCTGATGAGGAAGTAAAGGGCGTTTTATCTTGAATGATGGAACACCTTATGCTATACAGGATAACCCTGAAGAAAGAGATGCTGAAGCACGGGTAAATGCTGTCAAAGGACTAGTATTAGTGTGTGAAACTTTAACCCAGACACGAGATTATTCTCATCTATTGTCTGCAGAAGAATGCATATCTCTATATGTTTTCATCAAAAATGAGGTTATGCAGACTTTATTTAAAGCTTTGGATGATTACTGTGTAGATAACAGAGGTGATGTTGGTTCTTGGGTTCGTGAAGCTGCCATAAACGGCCTTGAGAGGTGCACTTATCTTCTATGCAACAGAGAATTCAAGCGCTTCCTAAGCAAGTCAGTACAAATGGAACTTGGATCACTTTCTCAGTTGAATGAAAAAGATATTACTAACCAGATGAAATTTCTATTTGATGAAAATGTGGCAACCTGTTTAGTTGGAGGCGTTGTTAAACAAGCAGTGGAGAGGATGGATAAATTGAGAGAGTTAGCTGCAAAAGTTCTTCAAAGAATTTTGTATAATAAATCAATTTTTGTACCATTCATACCCCATCGAGAGAGACTAGAGCAAATATTTCCTGACGATGCTGATTTAAAATGGGGGGTAGGTTAAAATCAGTTGTCCCCTGTTAGTTTCTATGTAAGTTTTGGTATCTTACAAATAAGTCTTTCTGTGCCATCCTGCAGGTAGCTACTTTCTCATATCCTCATTTTCTTCAGTTACTTGGTATCAACTGCTATAGAAAATATGTGATATCGGGGTTGGTTACTTCCATTGGTGGCTTGCAAGATTCATTGACGAAGGCATCATTCAGTGCTTTGCTTGAATTTCTTCAGTCAACAGATGAAAATGTAAATGGTACTAGAGAGTACAATCTTTCTAATGACATTCTTTGGGTTCTCCAGACGTACAAAAGGTGTGAGAGAGTCTTAATACCCACTTTGAAGGTAAATTCAATTGGAGATTCCATTACTGCAAATGGTGATTGCCGACCTTTCCTTAAATTGTAGACCAGTATGTGTTTATCTTTCTAGAGTTATCATGTAATGATTTATGTAGGCTATTGAAGATGCTTGTGATCATAAAATTTTATTGCAGCAATCTGGGAAATTCTTATTTGACTGTCTATGCAGTATCCTTAGCATGTATCCATCTTCCTTTTTATTGGTTAGAACCATTTTTCGTAAAAAGAGAATGGAACCTTTTTGTATTTTACGGATGCACAAAAATATCATGGCATATTTAAGACCACAAGACAATGAGACATTATAAACCCCTTTAAAAACCCTTATGCAACAGATATGGAATAGGTTTTCTAACACCCTTCGGCACGTGTAACCTGGTTCTAGAGGGTTTACATGTGGCAGAAGACTTCTTTCTTCTGCTCTCTTTTTTTCTGACTGAAGAGTGATTTGGAGCATAGAGGTAGGCTTAAGAGGCTGAAGTGTGGGCCTAGAAGGCTTAATAGGCTTGCTTAGACATTGATGTGTCACTTTTTTGTTTCAGACTATCGAGATTCTATTCAGCAAAAAGATATTCTTAAACATGAAGGTTAGTCTACTTTCATCTAATATCTAATCATTCATGTATTCGGTATCTTTCCTTTGTTCTGACGTATACTGTGGTTATTCTGCAAAATCAGGTTATGCTTGATGTTGTTTGCTTTGGCCTTGTACAGGCTCAAACTGCGGTGTTTTGTGCTGGCGTTTTAGAAGTTCTTAGTACAGAGTTGAAAGAATCAAAAGTCTCTAATCTGAAAACTGGAATTCAAGTGCTTGGATACATTTCATCAACATCGGATCCCATCAATATCCAGGCATTTGATCATTTACTTACTTTCCTCACTCACCCATATCCACAGGTATCAAAAAGCAGCTGCATAAGAGAAACTTTAAAAACAAGTGAATAGATATATTGTTCACATGTACCCTCCATATATATCCCTCGATGGGTCGAATTTTTTTATTTTAAAAACGGGTCATTCATATTATCTGACGGCTTTCCGTTTAATGAGGGGTATTTTCATAAAGTTGGGTAACGGTGAGGGTTTATGTGGCCCTATAGTATAACAGAGGGTGCATGTGAATAATATACCAGAGTAGAGGGGTATATTTGGACCTTTGCCCATAAATCAATAATATGCCACAATGAAGTGGATTTCTTAACAATTGTTTTCAACTATTTCTGCAGATAAGGAAAGCCAGTGCTGAAGAAGTTTATAATGTGCTACAAAACGGCACTCTTGTGCCAGAAGACAAACTAGAGAAAGCACTTGAGGTTATCTCTGAAACTTGCTGGGTAGGTGATGTTGAAGAAGCAAAACGGAAGAGGTTAGAGCTATATGCCATATGCAACATAGATGCTGGCACATTATCAGAAGAAAATGGTGGAACATCGCGTAAAGTTGTGGAACAGGCACCTACTTGTGATGAATATGCATCATACTCTTCACTTGTTGGATCGACTGGGTTTTAGTTTCCTTGTTTTTCAGTTGGGAAAAGGTGTAATCACTTAGAGGTCGATGTAGTCCATGGTATCTTGGAAGCCGATTCTAACCTATGGATAAAAGAAGATCGCCATATGCAAATTGAAAGAGATTGAAGCACCTGCTACTGTTACCAGAAAGGAAAACAAAAAAAGCACCGGCTACTGTTAAATCAGTACCAAGAGTAATAGGATGATGATTTACATCTAACAGTATAGTGACCTGTCTAAGGAAATGGACAATTATTCTTTTTATTTGTTTATTTAAATGGACAGTTTTTCTAAGCTCAGAAATTCTTCCACAAATGAGAATTGCCAGAAAAAGGAAATGACAACAAAAATTGGAAAATCAACTCAAATTGTTACTCCAAGTCTACATAAGCAGGGTGTATTTGTTTGGACTTTGGTTTGTAAATGGTCTGAGCCCTCTGTTACTTATAATCTGGACTGTTGATCATTAATTCGCAATTAAATTAAAATAATCGTCAATCCTAGGTATCCGTTAATACTCAACCCAAAACGACGATTGCATCAAGTAGTTGATAATTAATGATAATGTTGCATTAAAATAGGTTAAAAGACGACGTTTAATGTGTTGCAAAACGGTTTACGTACTAAATACTAGTAAATTTTTCAATAGCATATTTTACCAAATACCAAATATCAAAACCAAAATATGGACCTTTTCAATTTCAGAGTGGCTTTTACCAGATTATGCATTCCCCGAAGCAAAGATGGTTTCACTGTCTGTGCCACTTGGTACTCGAGGAGTATTAAATAGAAAATATCATATAAGATATGGAAGTTGCATAATATTTATGAACAATAGATAAATCAATTGGATAGAAAGACGAGAGAACGGACTCAGGGAAACAGGACAAAGAAGAGACCCAGGTGCTCCCTTCAATTCTCCCAAACTTATAGATGAACAGATTAGAGGTAAAGTAGACAGCAATAAACCACATAATATTCCGTAGGATGTAGGAACTTATTGCGCTTGTATATATATATATA